AGCGATGTAGAGTGCACTTCCAGACAGTTTAATGATTTTAAACTCTGCAGAAGGTTGCTTTGCAGAGGGTGCCACAGGTCCAGAAAAGCTTTTAAAGACGAGAAGCCGGCTGTTCCGATAGCCCCAGCTCTGCAGCTGCTGTGCTGCAGCCTCAGCTGCTGTCGATAAAGTTCCCTGGCTTCTGCAGCTGATATCTTCTCTCTTTTGGGCCCTTGGGGTGTCGCAAGACTAACTTTGCAAGGAGGAAAAATAGATTTATTAATATACTGTATCCCAAGGTGTGAAATATTTTCCTGTAAGCTTTACTAGTGGTCTTCTAAAAGCTCCCCTTCTTGAGCTGGCCTGTGTTGCCTCTTCCCTGTGTATCCAATTTCACCGCAGTGCTTGTGCGTCCTGGTGGCAGAGGTGTTTGGGGACCTTTCGTTGGGGTCTCTGTAAGGTTTTTGCAACCTCTCATGAAAGAGTCCACAGGTGTTTCAGGCAGTTTGCCAGTTTCTGGAATAGCTGGGAATATCTAACTGCTGCCTGTTGGTTTCTCCTGAGCAATGGGAGCCTTGCATAGTCGTGCTATTTCAGGCTTCTTCTTAAGCCAGTGTTAAAGCTGCCTGGGTCAGAAAGGCGCAGGCGGCCTTGCAAGGCACGTACAAGCTTGCAGTAGTAGTGACATCTTGCTCCCAGCGGTTATGTAGGCTTTCAGTCCTAAGGGGAGAAAATCAGGCATCAAAGTGGTCTTGGTCATTGCATCTCCAACAGGACTTAGAAGTCATGTAGCAAATATTATTGGCTCTTCCAGTTGAGCTGCGATTTAGAACCTTCTTCCTACTCAGGGTCTTTGTGATGGGTTTGTCCTTGGCTGGGGGCCAAATCACACACACCCGCTCACCCAATCCCCCCACCCGAGGATAGGAGAGAGAATTAAATGGGTAAAGGGAAAAAAGGACTTGTGGGTTGAGATAAGAATAACTGAATAACTAAGCTACAATAATATCGAAAAATAATACTATATACAAATACACAAATGAGTGATACACAGTGATACGTCCACCGC